AGAAGGAGGAGGGGGAACATTTCAAAGTTAGCATCCTGCTCGTGTGCGCCCTCTTCCTGATCCTCCTGCTGATCCTGATTCTCCTCCTGACTTTTCCTCCTCCTCACTTTCTTCTTCCTCCCTCGTTCTTCCTCCTCCTCATGTTCTTCCTCCTCCTCATGTTCTTCCTTCTCCCTCGTTTCTTCCTCCTCATTTATTCCGCTCCTCCTCCTACTTTTCCTTCTCTCCTCCTCAAGCTTTTCCTCCTCCTCATTTTCTTCCTCCTCCCTCGTCTCCTCGATTCTCCTCCTCCCGTTTCTGATCTCCTCCCCCAGTTAGTCCATCCACTGCCTGACGCAGTGATGGACACGCCTGCCGCGTCCCAGGCGCGCGGCTGCGGGCGTGGCCGCGCGATCGGCGCGTCGAGGTCGGCGTGCCCCTCGATCCACACGAACGTGGTGTACCTCGAGCGCTCGCAGGCGCATGATCGGCCAATCCCGCAACCCCCATGGGGGTTGCGGGATTGGATCGGCCAATCCCGCAACCCCCATGGGGGTTGCGGGATTGGCCGACGCATGGGCCCACGACCCCCGTCGATCCCAAGGAAATGCCACCCTTGCTTTAGAATGGGCACCCGGCGGCCCACGCGCGCTGGATGAGCTCTTCGCTGATGGGCCCTGGGGCCGGCCAGCCGCGCGCCCAGGGCCCTGGGACATCTGCAGGAGGCAGGCAATGTACACTCCAAGGGCGGCCAGGCGGCCAATTGAACTGCAGAGCCTCCTCGAAGCTCCGCCGCCATGGGGCTGGCTGCACCCACGCTGGCTCTCCTGGCCACCTGGGCCCAGGCTGGGCGTGGACTGGCCAGCCCAGCGGGTCTGACCACGTGCGCGCATGTCGCGCGGAGACACGGCCGTGGCGGAGGACACGTGGAGTTCGCTCCCGCGGTTGCGAGCCGCGCATATAACCCGAGGCGTTTCTCCTTTCGACCCATTGCTTTTCTGTTAGTCCTCCTCCTCCTCCTCCTCGTTTTCCTCCTTCCTCCTCTTCCTCCTACTTTTCCTCTTCCTCCTCCTCCTCCACATCCTTCCCTTCCTACCTCCACCTCCTGGGTCGACGGAAAAAGGCCTCGAGGTGCGGCCGCCGCCGCGAGCGGGGGGGCGCGGCGCCGCGCGGCGCCGCGCTCGCGAGAGTTCGGAGAACTCTCGAGCACAAATGGCTGCCCGCGCGCGCGGTCGCGCGCTGGCAAGCGGGGGGATGTCAAGGACAGGCTGTCGAGCTGGAGAAGGGGAGAAAAGAGAAATATGAGGTTGGAAAGATAAAGGAATGTTAAGCGAACCGCCGCTGCTGGCCTGGACAAGCTCATTAATGGGTCACTGCCGTCGGGGGGTGGGTGAAAGGGGGGAACAAGATGAACGCCAGGATGGGGCACCGAGTAATAACACCAGTATAGTAGTATTAATAGTCGTAGTAGTAGTCGTACTAGTAGTACTAGTAGTCGTAGTAGTAGTAGTAGTAGTAGTAGTAGTAGTAGTAGTAGTAGTAGTAGCGGTGGTAGTCGTAGTAGTAGTAGTAGTAGTAGTAGTAGTAGTAGTAGTAGTAGTAGTGGTAGTAGTAGTAGATTATTAAAATATAAAATGCCGACGCGTTCCTTCGGCCTCTTTAAAGGGCCCCAGAAATTTTCGATTTCGTTTTTGGAATTACATGCAGATTTATTAATGGTGAATAATATAGCAGCGAAGCTTAGCGGGGCGCCGCCGCGCGCGCGGCGGCGCGCCTCCGAGCTTCACTGCTAAATTTGCAAAAATACGAAAGTAGTAGCAGTAGTAGTAGTAGTAGTAGTAGTAGTAGTAGTAGTACTAGTACTAGTACTAGTACTAGTAGTAGTAGTAGTAGTAGTAGTAGTAGTAGTAGTAGTAGTAGTCGTCGTAGTCGTAGTCGTAGTCGTAGTCGTAGTCGTAGCCGTAGCCGTAGTCGTTGTAGTAGCCGTAGTAGTCGTATAGTAGTCGTCGTAGTTATAGTAGTCATGCCATGTCATAAATGCCATTAAAGACACATCATGCTAATGGGTGTGGTCTGAAAACGAAACTCACGACAGCAAAGCAAAACCCACGACATCAAAACAAAACTCACGACATCATAACAAAACTCACGACAACTTTGAGAAAAGCCACGATCTCACGACAATGCAAAATACTCACGACAAATGAGGCGTCATGAGAAACTCATGACGGTGGAGGTCAGGGTATGGGCTTCGGTTTCAACTGGCATGCTGCGAGCGCGGAATTTGGGTACGTTCATCGTTGCTTGCCGCGTTGCGTTTCCGTCATGTGTTCCGTGTAGTGGTATCCACTGTAGTGGTCTTTTGCACGTGGTTCTTGTTTCTTGGGTCGTCTTCCTTTTCGTTCCTCGCTCTCTCCCACCCCTTTCTTTCACTATCCCATGGTTTGTATATATATATACATATGTGTATATGTGTGTGCATATGTATTTAAATATGACCACTGCCGCCCCGCTTCCGTCGGTCCCCAGGATTATGGTTCCTGGCGCTGGGCGCCTCGAGCGGCCGTACTTCGGCAGGATTGTTGACGAGGCCACGGCAAGCAACCTGAACCACAGCTTTCTCATGGAGGTCAGGCCCTGCCGTCCCCCAGATGCTGATGATGATGATGATGAGCTCGACCGTCTCACAGAGGAGCTCTTCGAGCCTCTGGAGCCGAAGCCAGGCCCGAAGGCTGCTCGGGCTGCGGCGGATGAGGACAATGTGACAATGAGGATGAGGAGGGGCCAAGTGGGGGGCAGAGGCTCAGGAGGAGGTAGATAAGACGGCAGAGGGCGGGAGCGAAGGAGGGTCAGGGATAGGGAGGTCCGTGCTCGAGTCGAGGAGGTGAGGACGGACGACAACCAGAAGGTGAAGGTGCCCTCAGTGAAGGGGGGGGGAGGCGGAGCGCGAGATGGAACAGGAAGAGGATGGATAAGGGCGATGATGGTGATGATGATGATGATGACGATGATGAGGAGGAGGAGGAGGAGGAGGAGGAGGAGGAGGAGGAGGAGGAGGAGGAGGAGGAGGGGTCGGCGGGGGAGGGGGGAGGAGGAGGAGGAGGAGGAGGGGGGAGGAGGAGGGGGGGGAGGAGGAGGAGGAGGAGGAGGAGGAGGAGGAGGAGGAGGAGGAGGAGGAGGAGGAGGAGGAGCAGGAGGAGCTGGAGGAAAGGAGGAGCGAGGAAGAGGAGACCACAATGGCGTCGACGGCGGCGGCGACGGGCGGTGACAAGAGCGGGCGGCCGCGCTCCTGCGTCAGCAGCCTGCAGTCGCCCCGCTGCTGGAACGCAGCGCGGGCCTCCCACGGGGGGCAGGGCCAGGAGGAACCAAGGATGGAGGAGGGGGGGCGAGGCGGCGAGGAGGTGGAGAATGAGCAGGAATACGCGTGAACGAGTGAGTAGTAGCGAGGAGGAGCAAATCGTCCTCGCCTTCGTGCCTTTCCCACCCCTTCCGACCGTTGCCGTTCCTTATGTTTTGCGTCCTGTTTCACTGGCGCTCTGCGGTCCAGCGGGCTACCGCCCCGACGGGCTCCGACGCGCTCGAGGCGGCGAGAAAGACGCGAACGACGAGAGGGGCGAGGGCGCGGTGGAGGACGGGGCGGGGGCGGGGGAGGAGGTAAGCTGAGGAAGAGGAAGGGGGAAGAAGAGGAGGAGGATGAGGGGGAGCAGTAGGAGACGGACGAGGGGGAAGAGGAGGAGGAGGGAGGCGACGGAGGAGGAGGACGAGGAAATAGCAGGAAGAGTAGGGGCAGGATCGAGTCCGAGGAGGAGGAGGAGAAGGGGCTGGAGGAGGACGAGGAGGTGGAGGAGGCGAAGAAGATCCCCCCACCCCAGCCGTTGCCAAGGCATCGGCTGCGGCGGCCTCGGGCGTCGCCGACGAGAGCGGCGACGGCCAGGATGACCACGACAGCGACCTCGAGAGCACGGACGGGGGGAGGGGCCGTTCGCGGGTGCGCAGGCAGGTTAAGCAGCGGCCAGAGCAGACGTTGCTGTTGTCATTTCAGTTGGGACTGCTAATCGTTATCCAGCTCTCCAGGCCCCCAGGGGCCATTCGGCTGCAATATTGGTTCGGGGTCTGTCTGTAGGCCCGAGATGGGCCTCTCCAGTTCCCGTCTCCTCTTGCCTTGTCCGATCGTCCCGATCGTGGTTCTTGAGCTCGCGCGGTGGGGCAGTGCGACCTGAAGAGATTCTTCATTGACGGCGGCCAGTTCGCGAACCCCAGCAAGAGCGACGCATGCTACGCTTGGCTGGTCCAGCCGAAGGAGCAGAAAGCAACTGCGGATGACGATGACAGCGAGGAGATTGGGGCTGTGGTCAGCGCGAAACAGGGAGCACTGTAGAGCGGAGGCTTTTGGCTGGGGATTTTCTGGCTGCGGGACAAAGACAGAGATATAGAGAGAGAGAGATAGAGAGAGAGAGAGAGAGAGAGAGAGAGAGAGAGAGAGAGAGAAAAAAAAAAAGAGATCGATAGAGAGAGAGGGAGAGAGATGACGCCAAGCCAAGTTTGCAGGGGGTTCGACGGCTGGACGGCGACGCCGCTGGTCGGGCCGATGGCCCGATGGGGGGCGCATTCCACTGGCATTCCACATGCTTCTTCATCTTCCCCATTCTTCCATATTCTACTTCTCCTTCTCCTCTCCTTCTCCTGCTTCTCCTCGTCGTCGTCATCCTCCTCCTAAACCTCCTCGGGCCTCCTCCTCAGGCTCCTCCACGCCCTCTTCTCGTCCTTCTCTTCGGCCAGTGCGCTCTCCTCTCCGACTCTCCCTCCTCCTCCTCCTCCTCCTCCTCCTCCTCCTCCTCCTCCTCCTTATCCAGATCTACATCTCCCTCCCGTTCGTGCCCTCCCAGCTCGGCATCATCCCCGCACCGTATTTCACTGAGTTCGTCTTGTCTTCTTTCTGTCAACATGCTTACCCGATAACTCCTTCTTCCCATGCCGCGTTCGCCCCCGCATCGGGGAGGATAGGGCAGGATTCTGCTGAGGAGAAGAAGGCGAAAAAGGTGAAGAAGGTGAGCGACAAGGAGGCGATCTACAGGGCTGCCGCTGGCACGCACGAGGTGGTCTGGAAGCCCTTGAAGATCGAGATCGATCCGAGCTGCGACACTGGCGAGACCGCAACGTGGGAGGGAGGGTGTCTTGTGTCCTGCCCAATCCTGCCCCACCCCTGACTCGTCGCGTCCTCCTATCGTGGGCGTATTCGTGCTGCGCATCCTTGCCCTCTTCCTGCTGCCCCCTACTCCTGTGGCGGTCGCCGCGCGCGCGCCCTGACCTCGTCTTGCCCGCGCCTGGTCGCGCAGCTGGCTCTCCGCGCTCGCCTCAGCGGGGGGATCGGCCCCTCCTTCCAGCGCGGTGCCCGAGGGAGTTTAGTTGGGGCGGGCGCAAAGGGGGAAGGGCAGATACTGGTTCCTGGTGCCTTACTTGGTGGACATCATGCCCCTCATCGACGTTTCCAAGCAGGCGGGCTTGATCTTCCGCCGCCGCATCGACTGGGACAGCAAGGCCCTCGAGAAGAAGAGCGAGACTAAGCGCCCAGGGGATGCGGGCTTTGGCGCGGGCAGCGCGAGCGGCAGCAATGAGGAGGTGGGGAGGCCGACTGAAAAGCAGGAGGAATGAGGAGGAATGAAGCAACATAAGGGGGAGGAAGAGAAGGGCGTGGGAGGTGATGAGGAGGAGAGGGGCGACAGAAGGATGGAGCAAGAACGGGAGGTGGGGCGGGGGGCGAATGGTACAGCCCAGCACAACAAAGAACGGGCCTCTGTGGCCCGCGGGAGGGCCCCCCCCGACACGGCACGACACCACGCCCCTTTGCCTGGCAAGGCACTTCCCGACACGGCCCGCGGGAGGGCCCCCGACACGGGCACCCAGATCCACGACGGCACTGCCCGACGCGAAGAGCATCGCGTCGCAGTCGCCCCGTCCGGCCGCAGCTCCCTTCCCCCCCCACCCTTTATTACCCTCCCCCATCCCTCTTCTCATTCTTCTTATCCCCCTCATCCTCTTTCCTCCTGCTCCTCCTCATCCTCTTCATTCTCCTCCTCGCTCTCGTCTCCCCTCTTTGGTTCCGAAGCGCAGCCTCACGCAGAGGGTCGGATCAGCCGCGCAGTCACGTTGCACCACCGCCCTCGCTGGAGGCTGAAGGGTGACTGCGAGGAGGCATCATATTTATCAGAAGTAAACGTTTGTCATTCTCCTCGTGTTCCTTATCCTCCTTCTTCTTCTCTGGATTCCCACCCTCTTTCTACAGTCGCAGTCCTCCTACGTAGTATTATTATTCTCGTCGTGCTTGGGCCGTGCTGCGCCGTGGCGCGGGTTCTTATCCTGCCCCCCTCCTCCTCACTGCCATCGCCCTTGTCATCATCATCGTGATCAGTTTCAATGCCATGTTACCCGCCCCCTTCATTCATATATTTGTACTCCTTCTGCCCCAGGGCGTTCCGTGGCCGCCGCCCTGGTGTCCGTAGCTATTTGGTTTCTCAGTGGTTCAGGGTCTCTCGGCATGTCCTCGCTCGGCACCGCGCGTGATCGCGCTGGCCCCCTTCCGGACAAGGTGGACCGCGCTGCGTTCTTCGGCCCTCCAACTCCAGAGGCCGAGCCTGCCGAGCCTCCAAAGAAACGTGACTGTCATGACTGCTGTTGGGAATACGATAGCGTGTTCATGAAACCTTGGGTTCCATTCAAGTGCCCGCGGACGCGGCTCCTCATCTGCCCGTGCAACACTTGGCTCCCCTCCAAGAAGTTCAAGGCTGCCCCTCGTGATGATGCCACAACTGCAGGGCCCATCGACCCAGACGTGAGCCTCGTCAGAATCACGATCACAATCGATTGATCGCTGGGAGTTGCTATGACGTAGCTCGCTCTGCTGGGCCCATCCTTTTTCGATTCGATGCTGGCGCGAGGGCGCGCTTGCAAGCAAAACGGGGATGAGGAAGTTGAGGGGGCCATGCACAACGAGGAGAAGGAGGCAGTGGAGGAGGAGGGTGGAAGAGGAGCACGAGGTGGAGGAGGAGGTTGAGGAGAAGGAGAGAAGGAGGTGGAGGAGGAGCACGAGGGGAGACTACGAGAGTGGAGGAGGTGGGCAGCGACACTAGTCCAGGAGGTGGAGGTGGACAAGGTGGACAACGACACTAGGTTGAGGTGAAGGAGGTGGAGGAGGTGGAGGAGCACGATGTGGAGGAGGAGCACGGCAGTGACACTAGTCCAGCAGTGCTGCGCCTCTCTTCGCAGCACTGGGCGCTGGGAGGTCAGCCAGCACGTCCTGGATCCACAAGTGAGCTAGTACCGCGTGCAGTCTCCCCTCTGTGCGTCTGTGCGTTCACCGTGTTCGCGGTGCGCGCGCGAGTGCGTGTCGTGCGCGCGACGAATCGTGATTGTTACGGCGCACGTGCGCACGTGTTCGTCATCATCCTCCTCCATGTCCTCATCCTTCTTCTTCTTCTTCAGTGCGCAGCGTGCCAGTGCAGTGCAAATGTCTAGGGCGCTCACTCTTAGCCCTTCCACCCCCCCCCCCCCCACCCACGCTGCGGCGGCGCGCCTCCATCCCGCCTCCTCTGTGCCGCGTCGGGCCGGGCGGGCTCGGGGCCCGCGGCCCGCGGGGCCGCCGCCCGTCCTCTGTCAGGCCGGGGTTGAGCCGAGCGGCGGCGGCCAACAATTCAGATGGAATGGAGAGGGGTGGTGGTGATGCTGAGAATGATGCCGACGTTTACGACGACAATGATGACGATGACGACGCGTACTGATGATGATGATGATGATGATGATGATGATGATGATGATGATGTTGATGATGCGGATGATGATGGCGATGCTCGTGATGATGATGATGATGATGAGGAGGATGATGAGGATGATGCTGATTGCGGCGGTGACACCCATGGATATCCGGATGATGACGATGACGATGACGGGCGCTTCAAATAATGCGAAGGAGGCGAAAGAGGCGAAGAAGGCGAAGGAGTAGGAGGAGGAGGAGAGGAGGCGAAGGAGGCCAAGGAGGAGGCGGAGGAGAAGACGAAAGAGTGACGATAACACTACACATATCCCACCTATTGCCACAGACATGGTATGAGAGAGCAGTGTGATACGATATACGAACAATGACGCCTCCGACAGACAGCACTCGCATACAGAGATAGTAAGGGATACCCAGATATAGAGATAGGGGGGGAGAGAAAGAGACAGAGAGAGAGAGAAAGAGAGAGAGACAGACACGGTCAGACAAACAGACAGACAGACAGACAGAGAGTTGGAGAGTCGGGCCGCCGCTCGCTCCCGTCGCTCCCGCCCCCCGTGCCCGGCCCGTGCCCGTGCCGCCGCGTCGCCAGCCCATCAGTGCGCAGCGACTGTCAGTCGCTGCGCGTGTTCAATGAACATTTCGAGTCCTCGAAGTGACTCGAGGTCTGAGTGCTGCCTCAGAAACAAGCTTCCCGTCCCCTTCTGAGCCCCCCTCCCCCTCGTCGTCGCCCTCCTCCTCGTCCGTCTCGCGCGCCCTCGCTTCCCTCTTTTTCCGAGGGTCCGATCGTTCGGATTCGCTCGCCGACTCGCCGTCCCTCGGGCAGCTCGGGGCTACAGCGGCAGCTCGGACGGCGAGGACGTCGCGACGTCGCTCTTTCCTCCCCCGCCCGCCCCCCCCCCTCCCTCTCCGCCTCGCGCCCGCCCGTTCCCTTCCCGCCAGGTGGCGATGAAGGAAAGGGCGAGAACGAGGAGGAGGTGGCGGAGGAGGAGGAAAAGGAGGAGGTGGAGGAGGAAGCTGAGGAAGGAGGGGAAGAGGAGGGGGGGGGGAAAGGGAGGAGGGGGGAGGAGGACGAGGAGGGGGGGTTAAATGTGGTGAGGGTGTGGTTTACCGAGCAGGATTGGGTAGACAGATCCAAGCACACTTAAACATACCCAGGGGAGGGGGGCGGTCCCCCCCCCCCCCCCCCTCCCCCTCCCCCTCCCTCTTCTTGCTCCTCCTCCTCCCCCTTTCCCCATCATCCCCTTCTTGCTGCTGCTCCCCCTGCCAACCTTCTTAGCCCCAGCAGCAGGTGGACTCCGCGTCCTGCCATCGCGCGCAGCAGTCGCCCTCGCCGCCTGCGGGTCGTAATTCATTTAGCCCCATCGCTCATCGCCCTTCCTCGTCGTCGTCGTCGTCGTCGTCGTCGTCGTCTTGCTCGTCGTCGTCGTCGCCCTTCTCCTGCTCGTCCTCCTCCCCCTCCCCCTCCTCCTTCTCTTCCAGCTCCACCTCCCCCTCCTCGTCAGCAAAGGGAGTGGTGGTGAGTGAGTGAGTTGACGACCTCCCAGCCAGCCGCCGTCTTGGCGGGCTGCGGAGACGCCGCGGGCCTGTCAGCGCTGCTGCCGGCGGCGCTGGGGGCGGGCGCTGCCCCCTCGGCAGGCGCGCCGCCAGGTTCATTAGCGCCACCAGGCGGCAGCGGCGGCGTCGCCCCAGCCTGCACAGCGGCGGATGGTACGGAATGCTTTCCCCCCCCCTGAGGGTGGTCGGTCGTCGCCCGCCCCCCCACGTGGGGCTGTGCTGAATCCAGGAAGCGGGGGGGCCGTCCGAGCTGACAATCCCCGCGATCAGGGCGCGTGTGGTAGAAGAGCGCCCCACGACGAAGACCCCCTGGCAACCCTCGACGGAGCGCTACATGAAACCCGAGCATGAGTGCGAGTGAGTCCGACTGAGCGCCAGTGGTTCAGGATGCACTGAGTGCGTCTGATGACCACTGTCAGTGTGAGCGTGGTTGTCTGTCTGAGTGTGAGCGAGTCTGGATGATATGAGTGAGTCGTCTGGGTATCATGCACATCAGTAGGTACGACTGCGCGTAATAAGCCCCAGAGTTTGAATAAGTCTGAGTAGTAGCGAGTCTGTGATTGGCGAGGCGTTTGTTGCGCGTAGTAGGCGCGTCTCTGATGCGAGCGGCGAGTCAGAGACGACTGAGAACGAATTAAACAAGGCGCAGCGGCCTATTGCGAGCGAGGAGGAGCAGCTGGAAGGAGAGGAGGAGGGAGGAGGAGGAGGAGGAGGAGGAGAAGGAGAAGGAGGAGGAGGAGGAGGAGGAGGAGGAGGAGGAGGAGGAGGAGGAGGAGAGAGGAGGACTCGGATTCGCAATCCAGATACTACATGATTTTACGTTGCAGCCCGCCCAGAGAAAAACTCCACCAGCCGCCCTCGACTCCACCGCCGATCGCATCAGAAACGGGCCGGTTCCAAAAGCGAATGGGGGGTTCTTTCGCCATGGAGGTGATGGCGGCATTTTGTTGACGACCCCAGCCCTGCCATGCCTGCAGCGCTGCGCCACGTGGCGGCGCCGCCGGTGCTGGCGACCTCGACGCCGCCCCCAAGGGGCCAATGTCTGGTGCTCGGGCCTGGGAAGGCGTGAAACAAACAGTGCAAGCAGAGGGGGGGGCCAGCAAGCAAGGCAGGCAAAGCAGGAGGAAGAGGAGGGTACGCAGGGAGGGGGTGCTATGATTTGTATATTGTATACTGTATATTGTATACTGTATACTGAATTTATGACTGTATACTGTATATTGTGTAGTGTATACTGTGTAGTGTACTGCATATTGAACACATGACTGTATACTGTA